CCTACATTACCCTTTAAGCGTTTTACTAGACAAGCAGATCTCAATATGACCTCTGAACCTCTATAGGCATAATGTGTATTATTCAAGGCCTTCTATACATAGAGTAGCTTCTATATGGCTTTCAGATCTCTATAAGTGCACCTTTTATAGGTCGTCCAGGAGTAAAATATTTTTAAAGGCCTAAATATATTCTGGAAATCATTCAAAGATAGGTTATACTTGAAACAAAATACTTTGTATAGTTCTTTTCAGGATTTATTTTTTTCTTCTAGGGATAAAATAGATTCTAAGTGTATTATCGATGTCGAAGGCCTTTATTAGGTATTCAAAATAATGTTTATAGGTCTTCCAAAACCAATTTCTAAGTATTTTTTTAGGTAACCTGCAGTTAGAAGTCCGTTTGAATATGTGGAAAAAATTTTAATTTTCTTTAAGATAATTTCAATATTTTCAATTTTTTATTAACTATTCCCAATACCTTAAAAAATCTAAATACATTTTTTCGCTTAGAGAATAGTTAATTTAGCAAACCCTCGTTCTCTTCATATTGCATAGAATATTACAGAGAAACCAAAGGCAATACTCCTTACACTCGTTTGAGAGAAGTTGAAGTAGTAGTCTCTTCAATTTAATTACTCTGCGAATCTATTGCATGGTATGGTATTGGGGGGTTTAACTATTTAAGTATGCACCCCTCCAATACAAAACGGTCGATATTGTTGCTGTTTTTACTGCAGTAGCCGTAATAACTGGCATTGCACTTCGTTTTGAGAAGAAGAAGAACAATAAAAAACAATTCTCTATTTAAAACAAGAGCGTAAGGGAGTAACAGTGAATGGAGGATGATGGTGTTAGTGAAACAATAAACCTTTATCACTTTACCCGTATATTTCTTTTAGAATGAAAAAAAAAAACAAACCGAAGCTCGACAACCACAGAACTATAAAGCAAAAAAAAAAATCCAACGACGACAACAACAATGAGCATATATAAAAATAAACACACTACACACGACTTACATGACCGGCAGCAATAATGAATGACATAAGAACAGAAAATGCAAAAAACAACAACAATGAAATGCAAAAAAAAAACAGAGGAGTGCAAACTAAAAAAGTTCTTGGGGTAGGTTTGGTCGGTTGGTACTACTACCACTACTGCTACTAGTGGCAGTTGTTGTATTTTTGCACAATTACATACATGCTTGATAATAACAATGCTTCTGCTGCTGCTGCAGATGATGATGACAAAAACAACAACAGCAACAACAATGCAATAAGCGTTTGTTGTAATTGCAGTAACATCTTCTTGACAACCCTTCTGTCTTCTCGTTGAGAAGATGAGAACAATAAAGTCAGCAAAAAAACAACAACACACACACAACAGCATATATTGAAGTTCACAACAGAGTAGAAAAAAACACACACAGATGATGATGTTGCTGAAGAAAAAAAAACTTGAAATATTTTCAGATATTTAAGTTCAATTGGAAAATATTTTTAATTTTTATAATCTTCGGTTAGCTTACAAGTTCATGTGTGTGCTAAAACTAATAGCAAATGTGAGAAGGCAAGAGAAGGAAAATAGATCTCAAATCTGAAACTTGAAAACACATGATTGAGGCAACATAAAATAAGTTGACGAATAGTAAAAAAATAACTTAAACGAAAAAATCTAAAAGTTGCTGAATAGCACAATTGTCTATAGAAAAGTTGCCGAATAGTACAATTGTCTATAGAAAAGTTGCTGAATGGCACAGTTTTCTATAGAAAAGTTGCTGAATGGCACAGTTTTCTATAGAAAAGTTGCTGAATGGCACAGTTTTCTATAGAAAAGTTGCTGAATGGCACAGTTTTCTATAGAAAAGTTGCTGAATGGCACAGTTTTCTATAGAAAAGTTGCTGAATGGCACAGTTTTCTATAGAAAAGTTGCTGAATGGCACAGTTTTCTATAGGAAAGTTGCTGAATGGCACAGTTTTCTATAGAAAAGTTGCTGAATGGCACAGTTTTCTATAGAAAAGTTGCTGAATGGCACAGTTTTCTATAGAAAAGTTGCTGAATGGCACAGTTTTCTATAGAAAAGTTGCTGAATGACACAGTTTTCTATAGAAAAGTTGCTGAATACCATAGAAAATATAGAGAATATAATATTTTTCTATAGAAAAGTTGCTGAATAGAATATTAACACTTAAAAAGTATATGAATAGCCTAATCCAAAGAATATTATGGTTGTTTGTTTGCTGAATTATTTCTTTTAAGCAAAATGCATTATTTTATATTTCCTTCCCATTCCACCCTATTATACACCAATTAAATGACAAGAGCATGAGTAAAAATACTGGGACACAATACAGTGAAAAAAATACAACACGACAACGACAAATATGCATGACTATACATGAGAGTGCAATGACTACAGCAATAACAACAACAATTACATAGAAAAACAAAAACAAACATTGCATATTTGGATCTTAGCCCAGGCATACTCTCATGGTCTACATTAGTGTGTGTGTCCGTGTGTATCTGTGAGTATGGGTACAAAATTAAAGGTAAATAGTTCGTCTACCCCATGACGATGATATTCGTAGCTGCAAGCAACCAAGACCCAACGAATGATGATGATGATAATACTACAAACGAATTGCAAGCAAAACACAAAAACAAAATCAAAAACGAAGCACACGCATGTATAGGCCCCCACCCAAAACACACATAACCTTCCGAACGTAACAAAAACAAAAAATAAGAATTCAAGTCTTTGCCAAGTACGAAAAAGTGTCCTTCATTTACAGCAATACTCGCAAACACACGCACACACACTGCAACACATTCATACCCAACATTGCAACCTTACCACACAATGACTTTGACCGCTTGATTTTGACTGTTCGTTGTTGTTGTTGATGTTTTCGGTGCATGCAGTAGTACCCACTCCTCAGGCCGAATTGCAATGTTTTTTTTTGTCGATTGGGGATTTTTGTTATTGTTTTTCATCTTCGTTTTGTACTTCGACTGCACTTCGTGACAATGTTGGAGGGTTCAATTTTTTTTGCTGAGGGGAAGACTGACTAATGCATTGCAATGCTTTTTTGTATTAATATCGACAGCATGGCAGCCAATACAAAAACAATAACAAAAACAACTGCAATTTAATGATGCATTTATGCACAGTTAAATTGCAATGAGCTCTCTGGGACTCTTGCTCTCTCTCTCCTTTGAATTATGTTGATGTGTTGGCGCTCTTCTCTCAACCCCATCACATTTTTAGTTTTTTCCTTCACTCGTTCACTTGCAATGCTCTTCTCGGAGCATTTCAATTGCAGAGAGCGAGAGCGAGCAATAACATCATTGAATTGACTCTGTTGTTGTTGAGAATTTAGGTTACGAGTGTAATATTTGACCTAACGTAATAATGTAAGTGCATGCAGCATTGGACAAAGGACAAGGTAACAGTAACAACAACCACAACAACAACCATCAAAATGTACAACAAAATTTTGCATAAGATGCAAAAATTTTTTCATTTTTTTCCTTGCCCGAATTCGACAGTCAATTGAGTGTAGCAATGAAATGTTAATTTTCGGTTTTCTGAGAAAAAAGTTGTTGTACACAGAAATTTATTGCATTTTTATAACAGCAACTGCAACAACAACAACAATTATATATCGTCGTATCGAACATTTGACCCTGTCCTAAATTTTGGCATATGTATGCATGCATGTGCAAATTAAGTAAGTACGTACTGAGGCTATGATGTGCGAGTGAGTATACGCAATTTATTCAGCAGCAACAGTGGCAGCATGACAGTCAACCAGCCCGCCCGCCTGCCAGCCACTTCAGTATTTCGGTTACTGACTGTTTGTTCAATGCGTTCATGATTGCATTCATGTGACACCGAACACTGACAGATTGTTGTCTCTCGCTCTCTATTTTTCGAAAAAAGGGGCTTGGGTTGGCCGCCTCGTGACTGTGGCAGCAGCATCAGAATCTGGGTAAAGTGCAATTGTTCACCAGGCCAAGGACCAAGCTCAAGGTTAATTTTGAATAGTTTTTTCGAACTGATTCTGGTAAAGGTTATGACGAAATATATATGAACATGATGATTGCAACCTTGACTGAGCATGCTGATGGAAAATAATGAAAATGGAATTTCAAGAGTAGGAAAACTGGGTTAAGGTTGGAAAGGAAATGCTTTAAAGGTCATCGAAAAAATAGATTTTTCTAGAAATTTTCTCACATTTGCTAAAATTGAAACTGCTCCAAAGGTTGCTGAATGGTTTATTTTTGGATAGAAAAGTTGCTGAATAGCACAGTTTCCTATAGAAAAGTTACTGAATAGCACAGTTTTCTATAGAAAAGTTGCTGAATAGCACAGTTTTCTATAGAAAAGTTGCTGAATAGCACAGTTTTCTATAGAAAAGTTGCTGAATAGCACAGTTTTCTATAGAAAAGTTGCTGAATAGCACAGTTTTCTATAGAAAAGTTGCTGAATAGCACAGTTTTCTATAGAAAAGTTGCTGAATAGCACAGTTTTCTATAGAAAAGTTGCTGAATGGCACAGATTTCTATAGAAAAGTTGCTGAATAGCACAGATTTCTATAGAAAAGTTGCTGAATAGCACAGTTTTCTGCAGAAAAGTTGCTGAATAGCACAGTTTTCTATAGAAAAGTTGCTGAATAGCACAGTATTCTATAGAAAAGTTGCTGAATAGCACAGTATTCTATAGAAAAGTTGCTGAATAGCACAGTTTTCTATAGAAAAGTTTCTGAATAGCACAGTTTTCTACAGAAAAGTTGCTGAATAACACAATTTTCTATGGAAATGCTGCTGAATAGCATTGTTTTCTATAAAAAAGTTGCTGAATAGCGTAGTTTTATATAGAAAAGTTGCTGAATAGCACAGTTTTCTATAGAAAAGTTGCTGAATGTGAATGTTCTGTACGGAATTGTTTTGTTTTTATAGTTTTTATATATTAAATTCCCAATTTCCCTCTTACCTGATGATATCGAATTGACCGATTCGGAACGCGGCGTATGATGCATCATACTGCTGCCATTCATTAGCTGATGATGATTTAGGCCATTACTTAAACTATGAATGCCATTCTGATGATTCATTTGCATGGGATGTCCGCTCTGTAGCGACTGATGAATTGCTGCCGATAGTTGATGTTGGGTCAGACCCGTTCCAGTTCCACCACCACCGTTCATGTGATGTGAATTACTGTGATGATTGGCCATGATGCTGTTGTGGCCATTTAAATTTGTCATACCCGGCACCGCCGAGCCGTTGCCCGAAGAATTCATATTCGAACCGCCGTTGCCGCCACCACCGCCTCCACCTCCGTGACCATTCGTATAGTTTTGTGTCGAACTATTCGAATTGGAATTGGGCAATGTGGGCAGGGGGATAATTGTGGTTTGGGCCGGCAGCGTTGTACAGCCGTGTATTGAGGTAATTACACTGTGTTGGTTGTAATTGGAGGCGGCATCGTTGCACATCCACAGCTCCTGATCGCCGTAGTCGGGCGAGTCGAGCGGCGAGGGTGATATATTTAATTCTGTCGACAGGACGAGGCCGTTCGATGAGGATGTGACTTCTGATGAGGATTCTTCCAGCATTCTTAGGGCGGCAAAACCACCATTATTTGACCAACGTCGTTTCATCATTTGGAAGGCGAATTTTGGTGAATTTTTTCTCGTGTGCTAGGCAATTTGAAAGCGGCGTAAGAGATAACGGTATTTTCAACGAATTCGTTATTTTTTCTATTGTAAATGCTGTAAAGGGGAAGGCGTGAGGGGGGAAATGTTTAGTTTATTTTCGTTCTTTATTCCAAGGTCTTGTCTGACTCCAAGGAATTCTGAATGTTTGTGGGTGGGAGAGTACCACCATTTACCAAAGCGTAGCAATACAAACACACGCATGAACACACACACACACTGACATATACACGGTTATTATTGTAATAATGTAATTATAATAATTATATATGATTGTCGAATTGTTGTTGTTGTCAGACACATGTCAACGACTTTAAATAGAAATAACAGCAAGAAATTGTCAAATATAAAATTTTAATATTTTTTTTGGTATTTTTAGAAAAAAATAGGCCTAGGGTGTCGTAGAAAAAAAACAGAAGAGGCAAAATGTGTGTGTCTTCCGCAGCTGAATACAGTAATTTTGTATGGAAAAGTTGCTGGATAATAAGGTTTTCTATATAATTTTTTTTTTGATATGGAAAAGTTTCTGAATAGCACATTTTTCTATAGTGAAGTTGCTTTCTATAGAAAAATTGCTCAATAGCTCGGTTTCCTATAGAAAAGTTGCTGAATAGCTTAGTTTTTCTATAGAAAAGTTGCTGAATAGCTTAGTTTTCTATAGAAAAGTTGCTGAATAGCTCAGTTTTCTATAGAAAAGTTGCTGAATAGCTCAGTTTTCTATAGAAAAGTTGCTGAATAGCTCAGTTTTCTATAGAAAAGTTGCTGAATAGCTCAGTTTTCTATTGAAAAGTTGCTGAATATCACAGTTTCCTATAGAAAAGTTGCTGAATAGCTTAGTTTTTTATAGAAAAGTTGCTGAATAGCACAGTTTTCTATAGAAAAGTTGCTGAATAGCTTAGTTTTCTATAGAAAATTTGCTGAATATCTTAGTTTTCTATAGAAAAGTTGCTGAATACCACAGTTTTCTGTAGAAAAGTTGCTGAATAGCTCAGGTTTCCATAGAAAAGTTGCTGAATAGCTATGTTTTCTTTAGAAAAGTTGCTGAATAGCCCAGTTTTCTATAGAAAAGTTGCTGAATAGCTCATTTTTCTATAGAAAAGTTGCTGAATAGCTCAGTTTTCTATAGAAAAGTTGCTGAATAGCTCAGTTTTCTATAGAAACGTTGCTGAACAGCACAGTTTTGTGCTAAAAAGTTGACAGTTTTCTATAGACAATTAGCTACATAGCATAGTTTTCTATAGAAAAATTGCTGAAAAGCTTAGTTTTCCGTAGATAAAGTTGCTGGATAGCTTAATTTTCTACAGTTTTGTTGTTGAATCCAACTTAAGTACGAGATTTGCCATATGAGTCTGATTTTAAATATGATCCTGAATCTTCTTCTTAATATTTCCATGTTGTATTTGTTGTTTTTTTTTGTTTCTTTTGTTATTTTGCCAATTTTTTTTTTTTATACGGAAATAAATCATTTGTTTCATGCGAATTATTTTTCGTGCTACTTTTTGTTTCTTCAACTTTTGCTTTGCTGTAATTTTCAAACGCTCGTTAAAGACAACCCGTACAAAAAAAGCAAAACACGCCAAGGAAACGAAAAAAATCCAATTTATTCATTTAATTGTTGTTGGTGTTGTTGTTCTTGTTCTTCTTTTGTAGCGAACTTTAAAAATGATGATTAAGCTAAACTTCTAAAATAAAGCCAACAACAAACCAAGTTAATACTCACAACAAAAACAACAACAACAAGGTGTAGTAACAGTAGAGCAACACATGATCAATTTTGTTTGGGGCTTTTTCGTTTTTTTGTGTTTTTGTTCGAATGAAAGAAAAAATGAGTTAGTAATACTTGTCGGTTGGTTCCATAGCTCCAGCCATCCGTCCGTCGATCGTCATAACAATCAAGAATACGATAAAAAGAACACAAAGAGAAGCAGAAAACGGTGGAGAATACCAACCACAACTGAAAACCGGTATCCAAACTGGCAAACAGGTTGCCCACTACCTACCAAAGCCGCAGTTAGAGCCCGGCTAGTAAGTGGAGTGGTGTTTGTTGTTGTCGAATACGTTGCTTTTCAGTTTGGGCCATAATAACAAAACGACGACGACAAGAACAATAACAACAAACATGTTTAAACGCGATTTCTTGGTCTCGAATACTCACTGCGACGACTACGACCACAACAACAACAAATTAAAGCTCAAATATTAAGAGCTGGCTGGCCAAAACAAAATAAAAAATACAACTTTAATATCACAACACTCATCAACACACACACACACATACACTCTCCAGGTAAGTGTATTGGTGTAAAGAAATCAAAAAAAAAAAACAAATCTAAATTCCATTCCCACTGCCCTCCCTCTTTATTAGGCATAACAACAGGAATGTCTATTACAAAAAACGGCCCACAATCTAACAGCCAAGCTCCACCATTGAAAGTTACGAACCCCACTTTACATAAAAGCAAAAAAAAAAAAAAGAAATAGAAAAAAATCATAGCGGAATGAAAGAGAAATTTTCGCATAGCAAAATGTGTTTGAGAAAGAAAAGAAAATCGAAAACATTCTAAGCCCGAATTACGACAACTGGTAATAGCAGCAAGAACAGCAACAACAACAAAGTCGGAGTTGGCAGCAATTCCGTCAGCCAGTCAGCCAAGCCATGAACACGAACAATTGTGGTTTAGAAGAAAGAAATATGTTGGATGGATAGATGGCAGAACAAGATACGAAATCTACTCACACATATGGCAGGCTAGCCTACCAGCCGCTTACTGTATACAGAAGAAAAGAGCAAAAAAGATGCGTACGAGCAAAAATTGTGGGGATTGAACATTTTACACAATTTTTTGTCAGAAATTATTAACGACATATTGGTATTCTTGTCAATCAGCCGACACGAAATGAAAGGGAGGGAGATGGGGAACAACAAATACAACAGCTGACATTCTGTCAATCAGTTGAAGTTATGATTTGTTTTTGGCGCTTATGAGATTTAAGTAAAGTTGTGAAAATACGAGAGAAACTGTCAAAGAGAGGAAGAGGGAGAGAGCGCAATATGTAATAAAATCCAATATATAGGGCATAACTGAATCAGCTTTTCATGGAAAAGTTGCTGAATAGCTCAATTTTCTATAGAAAATTTGCTGAATAGAACAGTTTTCTATAGAAAAGATGCTGAATGGCACAGTTTTCTATAGAAAAGTTGCTGAATAGCACAGTTTTCTATAGAAAAGTTGCTGAATAGCACAGTTTTCTATAGAAAAGTTGCTGAATAGCACAGTTTTCTATAGAAAAGTTGCTGAATAGCACAGTTTTCTATAGAAAAGTTGCTGAATAGCACAGTTTTCTATAGAAAAGTTGCTGAATAGCACAGTTTTCTATAGAAAAGTTGCTGAATAGCACAGTTTTCTATAGAAAAGTTGCTGAATAGCACAGTTTTCTATAGAAAAGTTGCTGAATAGCACAGTTTTCTATAGAAAAGTTGCTGAATAGCACAGTTTTCTATAGAAAAGTTGCTGAATAGCACAGTTTTCTATAGAAAAGTTGCTGAATAGCACAGTTTTCTATAGAAAAGTTGCTGAATAGCACAGTTTTCTATAGAAAAGTTGCTGAATAGTTTTTCATAACAAGTTTTCTATAGAAAAGTTGCTGAATAGCACAGTTTTCAGTCAGAAAAGTTTAGAATAGCACAGTTTTCAAAAAAAAAAGTACAACAGAAAACAAAAAAGAGGCAAAAATCAAGAGACAATTTGAAACAAGTTTTCTATAGAAAAGTTGCTGAATAGCACAGTTTTCTATAGAAAAGTTTTTTATTTCAAGCCATTCATTACACACATACATAGACTTATTCGTAGAAATACATCAGTTCACTATAGAAAAGTTGCTGAATAGCATAGTTTTCTATAGAAAAGCAACTGAATAGCTCAGTTTTCTATAGAAAAACAACTGAATAGCTCAGTTTTCTATAGAAAAGATGTTGAATTCGTGGCAAGTAAAAGTTTTTCGATTTGTTTACGCCGAACGAACATCTATAACAAGGTAGGCAGTACAAGCTCACGACTAAGAGCGGGAAGCCGAACCGAAACAACCAGCCATTCAGTCAATCAGTTTAGTAATTATAACCAACATTAAGCAACCAAAAAAAAAAATACAACAGAAAACAAAAAAGAGGCAAAAATCAAGAGACAATTTGAAACAAGTTTTTCAAGCGGCAATTCACATCACACCACCATCAGGTTGTGTCGGCCGTCGTGCGTTGGTTTTTTGTGTTCTACTCAAAGACAGAGTTTTTTATTTCAAGCCATTCATTACACACATACATAGACTGGAAAAACCAACACATATTCGTAGAAATCACATCAAATCACCATAAAGATAGGATTTGTTTTTGAAGACTTGTTTTCTTGACCAAAAAGAAAATAAAAGCCAAGTCTATCGCAGACAGAAAAAAAACAGTAATAAAATGAAGTGGAACAACAACACCAACAATTTTTACGAACTTTGGAAATAATAACAGCAAACTACCCTGAGATTTCTACACACTATGAAACTAAGCCGAAATATCATAAAAAAAGAGAGTTTAGAATAAAAAAACCTGCAACGAATGGGGAAAAGAGATTGAGAAGAGAGTACAAGGTTCACATCATTGTTATCCCCACACCAAATAAGGAATGCTTTGTCTTCTTTTTCAATGTCAAAAAAACAAAACGATCAATCAATCGCTCATCTTTCTAAGGAGGGTAGAGAAGAGAGACGATTCTTTTTTGATAATTGTTTTGAAATTTTAACAGCATAAGTCATGCAAACTGCAGGAGTAGAAAAACAAAATCAGGCATATGATTTCAGTCGAATTCTCTAAAATATTTTTTGGTTTTCAAGGATAACAATTATTGTTAACTCTTTTGGAAGATGAAATACGACTGAGTAATTTTTTCAAACGTTTACAAAATTCTTAGAAATGTTTTTAAATGGGGCAATT